CCTGTGGGCTGAAAGGCCCTAGGTTGGATTCCGGTCAAGGGCATGTACTTTGGTTGTGGACACACCCCCAGTAGGGGGTGTGCAAGAGGCAGCTGATCAATGATTCTCTCTCATCCCTCTCTCTTCCTCTCTGTAAAAAAATCATACACACACACACACACACACACACACACACACACAGTTGAGCAAAGCAGTGATATGGAAAGAGGCAGCTTGGAGAAAGCATAGACGATGCATGAAGAAAACTTATAAAAAGTTAAAACTATCATTAATAATATTCTCAGTGAAGTAAGAAGAAAGCATAGCCAAGGACAAGATGAAAAAAAGTCACAGAAAAAGTGTTTTTTGAAATTAAAAATAGAAGAGCAAAATTGAAAAATTCAATTGAAAAGATGGAAGATGAGATAATCTTTCATAAAGTAGATAAAACAAACAAACAAACAAACAAACAAACAAACAAAAAGTAAATGGGAAAGAAAATAAGAGTGGGGTGGAGCCAAAGGACCAGTCTTGAGGCCCAACATGCAGATAACAGGAATTCCAAACAAATTAGAAATAGAGAAAAATGCAACAGGAAATCAAAAGGAATGATTCAAGAATAGGTCCCCAAATGGATGGATGTTTTTAGACTGAAAGGAACACTGAACCTCAGCTTATGATGACCACGGACCTACACCCAAGCAAGTTTCTGAGAAATGTACTAAGAAAATCCTGAAAACGGCTGGAGACTGTAAAACAGGCCATAGTGCAGGATCAAGGCACCAAAACAGAGTACTGATTCCCAACAGCAACCCTGAAAGGTAATCAATAAGCAGTGCTTTCAAAGTCTTGAGGAAAACGATACAACTTAAAATGGTATTCTCAATGTCAGAGTGATAGTTCAGAGGCACTTCCAAAGAGACATGAAAAGTCTCATAAACTGTACCTCCCAAGTACCCTTTTTAAGAAGCAAGCAGATTAACTACTAACAAATACTAACTTAAGACAAAATCAAGAGCAGGAGAGGAGGAAAGAGCCTCTAGGTAATGATGAAAGGGGGATCATGATGAGCATGAGGGGATCATGATGAGCATGATGAGAGCTGTGTACAGGGCTGAAGACCTGGAGTCCAGGAGAAGCATAACCACAGCTCCAAAGATGAAACCGGGATACTGGACATTTCTCAACGAGGGGAATTTTAGACATCCAGGGAAAACCTTAGGGGTGAGGTCTTTTTGTTAAGTATTTGTCTCTGAGCAAAATAACAAATAAAAGGAAAACACAATGTAGGAATGGAAAAGTACTACCATATGGCTCCAGTCAACAATCTTCACATAGTCACACTAATTACCATTTAACTACTGAGACATACGAAAAGGAACAGTTCCCTGTGACTCCCGGCAATGTATGAAGGATTACTGGACTCTAAACTCTGCATATATGTGTGTGTGTATATATATCATGAAAACAAAAACTAAATTAAAAAAATAGTTGACAGGATTCATCTTTTGCTAATAGTGATAAAATATTCAGAACAGTTAAGACTGTTTTGAGATGACAAATTAAATTTTTACCCTGACTGGTGTTTCAGTGGCTAGAGCTTGGGCTTATACACCGGAGGATTGTGGTTTCGATTCCTTATTGCAGGTTAGATCCCTGGCCCCAGTTGGGGTTCAGGAGGCAACCAATAGATAAGTCAGTCTCACATGGATGTTTCTCCCTCTTCCCTTCCACTCTCTCTAAAAATCAATGGGAAAAAATTCTTGGGTGAGGATTATTTTAAAACAATTAAATTTTAAAGATACAGTACTAAAATAAATATAATGTCTAGGCTCTTAAGGAAAAATGGCAGAAAATGTTTTCTTTTTTGTTCAAAGCATTCTACAGTTCTTAAAAAAATAATAACAGTGTATTGATTTTAGAGAGGAAGGGAGAGGGAGAGAGAGAATCATCTATGTGAGGGCACAACATCAATGTGCTGACTCCTGCATGTCCTCTATCGGGGAATTGAACTAGAAACCTGGGCATGTGCCCTTGACCAGAATCAAACTGGCAACCTCCTGGTGCACAGGCTGACACCCAACCAACTGAGCCACACGGGCCAGGGGTCTATAGTTCTTTTTAAGTCAATAAAACTCTACAATCTAAAAGGTATTTCAAAGGTTTGTGTAGTCTTTTGATGTTTTTTCCTCCCTTTCATTCATATTTAATAACTAAGAAAACTTTTTTTAGTTTTAGTTATTCCAGTTTCTCAAAATGAATTTGAAAACGCCGGTAAAATGTGGACATTTCACATGTACAAAGTTAAATACTGATGTCATTCTAACTTGCTTTCTGTATACTGATTTGGTTTCCTCAGGAACCAGCAATTACAACTTCAGCAAAAACTAAACCTTCCATCTACATGGAAAAGAAGAAGAAATTCAAACTCCTGTTTGTAGTACATTTGTGTATCTTGAAACCATCTTGATCTGGGGTTATGTCTTCCTATAAAAGAGTAATCTTTAATTTGTATCCTGGAAAACAATGATACATGAAAATCAAAATTAGAGATAAACAAGGCTGGAAAATTGGTGGGGCAGAGAATCATTGAATCCTTTCTGAATAAATAAAAGCTTCCAGGGAAAAATATTTCATTGAGTCTTTCTATACTGTTAGCAACACATTGTTGAATCTCATCGAGGTATGGCAGACACTCTTAATAAGATTTTAAAAAATTGTTCTGGTCACAGTATAATAGCTAGTTATTTCCATATACAAAGGATAAGGACTATTTAATCTTCATTAGATTCTGTGGACAAAAGAAAATCTTAGCATGTTTTTTTTAAGTTTTATTAACTTATAACTGACAATGAACTACACATATTTTCTTATTTTTTTTTTAATAACCATATTTTATTTTTGTTAATCCTCACCTGAGGGTATTTTTCCCATTGATTTTTCAAAGAGAGTTGACAGGAGGGGAAGAGACAGAGAGAAACATGGATGTGAAAGAGAGACACGACTGGCTGCCCCTTGCTCGTGCCCCAACAGGGGCTGGGGATAGAGCCTGCAAATGAGGTACGTGCCCTGGACTGAAATCAAACTCACAACCCTTCAGTTCTCGGGCTGATGCTCTAAATTAGGGGTGTCGAACTCAATCAGAGAAGGGGCCAAAATCTAAAATCCAGCCTAAATCGCGGGCCGAATGGTTTACTGATCAGTCATAAACTGTCATTGTGATGGAAACGCAGCGGAGTGCAGTGATGACAGCGCGGTGCGGGCCACATTGCAAGGCCTGGCGGGACGGATTTGGCCCGCGGGCCTTGTGTTTGACACATGTGCTCTAAATAATGAGCAAACTAACTACAGCAGAACTTCACATATTTGAAGGGCACAATCTGATGCTCCAATCAATATAATGTACATATCCTTCACCCCCAAAAGTTTCCTACTGCCCCTTCCTAGGAAGCCACAGATCTGCTTTCTGTCACTGTGGTTTGCATTTTCTAGAATGCTATGTAAATGGACTCTTATTTTGTTTGGGGCGAGGTCTGGTTTCTTTCACACAGCATAACTGAGTTACATCCATATTGCTGAGTGTATCAAGTTTACTCTTTTTACTTTGAATAGTGCTCCATTGTATGAATATGATATAATAGTTTGTTTATCCATTCTCTTGTGAAGGGATATGTGGGGTGTTATAAATAAAGCTGCTATAAATATTCATATACAAATCTTTGCATGAACATATGCTTTCATTTTCTATGGATAGGTACTTAGGAGTGGAACTGATAGGTCATATTTTAGGAATATACTTAATTTTTTTTAAATGGCCAAATTATTTTCCAAAGTACTCACACCATTTTACTTTTCCATCTGCAGTGTAGCAGACTTCCAGTTCTTCCACATCCCTGTCAGCACTTGGTATGGTCAGTCTTTTTACTTTTAGTTATTCTAATATTCATCTAGTATCTTGTTGTGTTTTTTTTAAAATATGTTTTTATTGATTTTTAGAGAAAGAAGAAAAGAGAGGGATAGAGAGATAGAAGCATTCACGAGAGAGAAACAGCATTGATCAGTTGCTTCCTGCATGCCCCTACTGGGGATGGGCCCACAACCAGGGCAAGTGCCCTGACTGGAAATCAAACCGATGATCTCAGGTTCCTGGGTCAACGCTCAATCGCTCAATTGCTGAGCCACATTCCCCGAGCTACCTTGCTGTGGTTTTAATTGGTATTTTCCTAACTACGGTACTAATGATGCTGAACATCTGTTCATGTATGCTCTTTGCCATCCATACCATGTGCAGCATGAGATGAAGTGCAGGTTCAAATCTTTGTCTCATGTTTTATTGGATTGTTTTCTTATTATTGAGCTTGAGAGCTCTTTATGTATTTTGAATACAAATTATTTATCAGATATGTAATTTGCATCTATTTTCTCCTAGTCTGTGCCTTCCTTCTCTTTTCATTTTTTTAACAGTGCCTTTTGAAGAGCAAGTTTTAAATCTTGATGAAGTCTAACATATTTGTCTTTATTGATATTTTTGACATTGTATCAAAAAAAACCCTTTGCCTCATATAAATCACAAAGCTTTCTCCTATGCGTTCTTCTCAGATTTTTGTAGTTTTAGGTTTCACATTTAGGCCTGTAATAAAATTTAAGTTAATTTCTGTATAAGATGTGAGATTTGATCCAGGGTTAATTTTTTTTGTGTGTGTGTGCATGAAATATCTGTTTCAGAACCATTTGTTGAAAAAAAAAATCCTTTCTTCATTGAACTGTCTTTGAATCTTTGTCAAAAATCAATGGGCCACTTCCATCTGAGTCTAATTCTGAACTCTGTTCTGTTCTGATCAATGCCTCTACCCTTGCAGCAATGCTTCTGTGTCAGAATTCCTGTGGTGTAACAGTAACTCTTAAAACAAGGTACTGTGAGTTTCCCAATCTTTTTCTTTTTTTCCAAATTATTTTGAGTACTTATAGTTCTTCCCATATAAATTTTAGAATCAACTTGTTGATTTGTAAGATAGAAAAATATCTATTGGGACTTAATTTTTTTGGGGGAGTGGGGGTCATTAAAATGGAAAAAGTTTAAAGATATGTTGTCTTCTCATCCTGCAGCCCACCACTTCTCTCTCTATATAGAGCTATAGCATCTGATGACAGCTAGCTAGAGTGACCACAGTGAAACACAACCATAAAGTGGCTGCACTTTTCTTACAAGTGAATAATACATATCTGTATCCTACAAGCAGTTGCATAAAAGTAGAGGACAACTCACCAGCACACAATTTAAGCTGCACAAATTAATGGTGTGTTTTGTAAATAAGATAGTAATTAAAAAAAAATGTTGGTTATATCTTCCTTTTGTACCTTGAATACCATCCAACAAATGCACTCTGGACTGTAAATTCCTTTGGGCACAAGTTCCCACCTCAAAAGAATAGCTAGTTCGACTATACGAAGGATTTTCACTTTCCTAAACACACGAATACTTTTACCAGTTATCACATGAGGAAAAGTCAGCTTTTCAGACACTTCAGCTTAACCACTGGGGTAAGAATATCTAACCCTGTGTGACAGTCATCAGTGTCAGCTCCAAGCAATAGTTCCCAGGCTAGTGCCGCAGGCTCAGAGCTGTGACCGGCCTGAAGGCCAGTGACTCTAGGCTCCTGTTGGAGCTGTGCAGTTTGCTTTCAGAAGACTCAGACAAGGGTCCCCATCCCCGCCAGTCTGCTACTGCCTCCTCCTCCTGCTTATAATCCCCTCCTCCTCCGAGAACTCATGAGAGGCCAAGTGCCTATTCTGCCAAAGCTCATTTCTTCGGTGAGTAGCAGCAGGCAGTTGTGTTGTTTAGGATTTCTGCATCTTATGCTGCACAAGCCCAATTCCCTGCCACAAGTAAAAGGACTGAAGACAGGGGCAAATCAAAGCCCAATGATCAGATGGCCTGTGAGAGGGGCCAACCATCCCAGATCCGCCCTATGCTCAGCAGCTTCCCAAAAGGGTAGGCCCTGTGGAGGCAAATAATGATGGCAACAGCCCCTCAGGAAACACTAGACAGCAAAAGGCAGCGAGTAGAGGGAGGAGACAGCATGTCCAGGGTCTGGGGACTTGCTGGGCTCCTGATTCCTACTGGCCTGAATGACGCTGGGATTCCAAGGTTTACTGGCTTCCTGAGTTTGGGTGCTAGTCGCAAGCTTTAGCAAGCTCCCAAACTTCACATCTTTTCCATACATTTTGAAGACATTGGTAGCTTAACAATTGACCTTTACAATGCAGTACCTCTCAAATCAAAATTTTATCCTTTTAGTGGGAAAAGTATTTTCATGCAGCTACACTCTTTGAAAAACTAGTAAACTGCACATAATACACACACTAAATACTACACAGAAGCTTTTATTCCTCAGAACATTCTCCAACAATACAGGAAGCAGATTTTCCTTATCATTCAGTATTCAGGCACATGGTCAAAGGAGAACCTCACACAACATACTGGACAAGTAACAGAACCTCAGGGACATGGCCACCCAAATTCACTACCCAGCCTCTTCAATAGCTAAGTGGGAACAGAAACAGTTTGGGTCAACAAAACATAAGTAGTGTCTAGCACTGACTTGGAGGGTCTCTAATCGTAATACACAGTATGTCTCAATTTTCGCAATTCTCCACATAAGCCAACTTAGATAACCAACTACTACCAGCTGAGCATGTCAGTCTAGAGAGCAATCACCATATAGACCAAGAAGCTCTTGCCATCTAGTGGGTAGAGAGAAGAGTTTTTGTTTGCAGGCTTTTACTATATCCAGATCTTGTGCTGAGAGCTTTGAAAGGGCTGTCTCATTTCATTTCCCCCCAAACTACTCCTCCTTTTCCAACTGGAGATGTTAGGGCACAGAAGTTCAGCACTGTCCTCAGTCACGTGGCTGACAGGGATAGAACTGAACTGTTAACTCCAGGCTGTTCCAGAGCCCCAGCCCCTCCCCCTCATGGAGGCCACTGAGGTCAGGGAGTGAGTACCCCCTAGGCTGAAGGCCAACAAGCCCAGACCTGGAGATGGCCCACCCATAGGCCGAGTCCCAGCTTTCTATCTCCCATAGCACTAGCAATGTTTTGCAAAATGGCCTATTTTTTATTTAGATAAATAAAAGTATCAATTCATGGTAAATGTTCCCTCCTATCCCTCAGAGGAGAAAAGGGGAAAAAAACTTAGCATCTTACCTCAAAGGAACATTCAACATTTCTTTCATTTTTTTTGTGTGATAATCCCTTCAGGTCTATCTTTTCAACACTCACTGTAAAAGTAAAAAAAACACACACACAAAAACAACAAACAACAAACAAAATTATAAAAATGAAATAAAATCCTGAAGTACATATTACTTTAGCATTTAATATTTTAGCAATTTTCAAAGTAAGGCTTTCAATGCCCAACGCTGCTCAGTCTCTTCTGCGGTGTGTTCACCTGGAATGAGAAACTTAAGAGGAAGCAAAAAAGCTGTCACACTCAGGAATGGAAGGTGAATTTAAAAGTAAAGCAAGAAAAACAGGCAAAGAAATAAATACAAATCATAGAAAAGGAAGAGAACAGTGCTTGAAGAGAGAACATAAGTTTATTTGAATGCACACAAGTATGAACTAATTATAACTAAAGATTAGTTATGATCTGTTCCAATTTCTGAAAAACTAATGCTCAATGTTTTCCACTATTACTGTGTTAGACACAGCTGCCCAGAACCTCTCATTGGATCTTCTTGTCTCATCCTTTTCTGACAGGGCAAGGCTGGGGGTGAAAAGGGCAGCAGGTTAGGAGAAACAGTGAAGGTTCTTCATGCTGCCTCTAAAGAATTTTGAGAATTGTCATAGACTGGCTGCACAGACAGTGACCAAAAAAAAGACAAACTACCATTAAAGAAAGAGTTCTAAAGGCACCAGCCTCTTCATACCACCCTTTCACACACGTGTGCATTTTTTTTTATCCTCAAGAGTAAAATGATACATTAGAACACCTTTTTCCATTACTTTTACTCTTTCTGGAGGACATATGGTAGGGTTCTATAAGGATTTCTACAGGCCTTTCAATGGTCCAATAATTGTTACAATTCCTACAGATGTCCATGCTCCTGGTCTCCCACACCAATGTTTCCCAAAGTCTTCTCCAAGGAACACCAGTCCTGTGAGATGTTCAGAGTCACCCCTGAAAACCTTCATGGTCAAAAAATCTGGAGGAAAAATCTGCAAAACTCCTTGAAGATTGTCCATGACATCAGCAAATTAAAGGCTCTGAGAAGTCCCACAACAAATAAATCTTTTTATTAACAATTCCCCAGTATTTTTGGTCACAGAACTCTTTATTCCCCTAACATCCTAGAGAAAACGAACTGCTTTGTTCAACATGCTTTGGGGGAGGTTCTAACCCTGAACCACCCAATACTGTAGCCACTAACCACATGACCTTTTAAATTTGTATTAATCACAAGAATAGAATTAAAGTCTAATTCCTCAGTTGCACTGACCACATTGTGTCAACAGCCACCTGACAGAGAACATTCAGTCGTCACAGAGTTCTACTGGACAGCCCCGTCCTGAGCCAAGAGCTGGAAGACCGCAGGCTGCCCTCTGCTGGTTTGTGTAAATGGTTTTACTGGCACATAGCCACACTGTTTGCTTACATATAATCAATGGCCACAACAGAACTACCGTATGCCTTTGCAGAAAAAAATTTGCCAAGCCCTGCTCTACCCACATGTCTTATGAAGTTCCTGCTGTGGACCCGGTCCTATTGTAGGGGCTTGTAATAAACCAGTGAACAAGATAGATAGGTTCTTATACTCACAGATCACAAGAACTCACCTATCTTGTTCACTGGTATATTACGACCCTTCGCTTGCTAAGTTATTCTCTTGTAAGCCTCCCTAATTTTGTAAAGCGGCATCAGGATTGATATGCATATTGGAAGATAATAGAACCCCTTTGGTTTAGAGTGTTGTTAATTTAAAATAAGACCCTTATAGGAAGCAATTACTAAAAAAAAAATAAAAATAAGAGTACGTGTTCCCATTCTGGCAAAACAAAGAAAACACTACATTCAGAGGTTGTATAGCTCCTTATTTGCACTCAAAACTACTCACTGTTCCTGTACAACTTCATCAGTCAGATAGTCAAATAAACAGCTTTTATGTTTTCAGAACCGCTATTTTAAAAAAACTTACCCACAATGACATCATTCTAATCCAGATCTTAACTTTTTTAAACAATAGGATAAATAAAATCAATGAATACAGAAAAATTTAGTCAGCATTTTCCTTGGCATCAGAACACCAATGTGTACCTAAGTGTCCCAGAACTGAATAATATTAGGATTTATGGAAAGAAGCAAAAAAAACAAAAACACAAAACTTCATCTGGTCTGAAAGCAGGAAGTGACTCATATCTGGACAGGAAAATGTGAAAAGCAGATGAACATTATTCAGCTGTTTTCAAATAAAAAAAGCATTTGAACTCCAGGACTGAAATGTTTGTGAAGACTCTTCATAATCAGACCGATGGACATGGTGCTTTGTTTCAGTTCTATAAGTCCGTGCCACCCACCCTACTTATAGGGAGGCTGCAGCAGCTTTTGCTACCAGGAAAGCTCTGGATCAAATAAATGGCTAAAAAGTTCTGCCACTTTACTCACAGTGAAATTCTCTCCATACTGCCCTTCAAGAAAACAACTCCTGCCTTCACAGAGGCTCTAAAAACGGGAGAAGGGGAGCCTGGTGAAATGGAGAGGCAGGAGGGCACCTGTGGGCTGACTTTCGGTAGCAGACATCACTGACAACGGTTAATGTGGAGGGCAGCGTTACGGGATGCCTAATTAGGATTCAAAGATGTTTAAGCACACTTTCAATTGTGGAGCTATATTAAAGACCATGATTACAAAAAAACCCCCACAAAACGCTTATAATACAACTAAAAATATAAATTATATGCAAAATGATTATAGTTGTTTATAAAAGTAAAACTGACTAAAAATAAATTATCAGAAGTAATAGCAATGATAACAAGAATAATTATAATTGGCGGTAAAATTATGAGTAGCCTTTCCTCAAAAGTTCTGTAATGTGGTTTCATAATTTTAAAGTTTATTTATATGCATACAAATATCTATTTACAATCCACTTAAAGTCTACTGGTAGATGAAGTGACCCCTCTTCCCCTTTCTCTCTCACCTTTCTAGTCAGTCCTGCAGACTGATCACTAACATTCACCGAAGTCCCACTACCTTCTGAAGAGTACAAGCAAACGTGTAAATTTTAGGGGCTAGATAGCAATCCATCATCTGAAGGGACAGACAGTGAAAGGTGACTTAAAGTGGCAGAACTTTAAAGCCATTTCTTTGATCCAGGGATTTGCATCAATTGGAAAGACCAGATGGGATTTACATCAACTGGAAAGACTCGAAGACATGAAGGGCACACTTCTATTTGGTCAGAGATGAGCCAGTCATGGCCAGGAACAGTGCTCTAAAAGGCAGACTACGAAGGATAGGAGCGTCCATCTGGGGAACACTTGGGAACAGGAGAAAAGGGGCTGGGATCCAGACTGTGTATAGTATATGTCTATGTAAGACAGATGGAAATGGGACAAAGGGATATGAGACTAGACCAGTGGTCGGCAAACTCATTAGTCAACAGAGCCAAATATCAACAGTACAATGATTGAAATTTCTTTGGAGAGCCACATTTTTTAAACTTAACCCTTTGCACTCCGAACCATTCTGGACATTGGCTACCAGCTACTCGACGCTACTTTGTGAAACATGCGTTGAGTTAACTCAATTCCCCGTAATCACTAATAAACTGCAATGTTCCCTGAGAGGGGACATCTGAGTGATATGCTAGAATTCCGATGTCCCCTGAGAGGGGACAGCGGGGTGCAAAGGGTTAAACTTCTTCAAAATAGACTCGCCCAGGGTATTTTGTAGAAGAGCTATACAAGGGGCCAAAGAGCTACATGTGGCTCTCGAGTCAGTTTGCTGAGCACAGGCTAGACCATGTTGAGATGAGACTGAAAAGAACAATGTGCTTTTTCCTTTTAAAATTTTATTTGCTCAAACGTTTCTTCTTTTATGCATTCAAGATGCACATTAGAAATTCTCAAAACTTACAAATTAGATCACATAACTACTAATAAAATGTATTAAGTAAAATGCATTAAACTACTTTTAGAATTGAATCAATACCTAATTTTAATTTCCTAAAATTTTTTTAAGTTGATTTGAGAGAGAGAGAGAGAGAGAGAGAGAGAGAGAGAGAGAGAGAGAAACACCCATTTGTTTTTCCACCTATTTGTGCATTCATTGGTTGTTTCTTCTATGTGCTCTGATGGAGGGCTGAACCCGAAACTTTCTCACATAGGGACAAAAACACTCTATCGAACAACTAAGCTACCTGGCCAGGGCTCAATACCTAATTTTAAAAATAAATACACTAGCCCTGGCCGGTGTGGCTCAGCTGGTTGAACACCGTCCTGAGCACTGGAAGGTCACTGGCTGGATTCCTGGTCGGGGCAGGTTTCAGATTTGGGTAGATAATGGGAGGCAACTGATTAATGTTTCTCTCTCCTTTCCTCCGTCTCTAAAATCAATTAAACCCAGCTGATGTGGCTCAGTGGTTGAGTGTCAACCTATGAACCAGTAGATCATAGTTCAATTCCGGGTCAGTGCACATGCTTGGGTTGTGGACATGATCCCCAGTGTGGGGCATCCCAGTGCAAGAGTCAGCCGATCAATGATTCCCTCTCATCACTGTTGTTTGTTTTTTTTCCCTCTCTCTCCGTCTCCCTTCCTCTCTGAAATCAATAAAAATATACTTAAAAAAAACAAAAAACAAAAAATAATACACTAATGTAACTGACACAAGAGGGAGGAGTTTTGTGTGGAAAATACAAATGTGTTGTAATAAAAGCCCAGGCAAGCAGCTGAAAGGCCTGAAGCAGAAGCACTCACTGAGGCTGGCAAAGAGTCACAGATGATTTAGGACAATGACTGATGGAAAGGCCACACAGCCAGCAAGTCCCAGCACCAGAAACACATTCTCTTCATTTCAGCCCAGGGAGCTCCTGGGTAAAACTGCCACAACCTAAGGACCACATTCGCTAATGATTTATAAGAGCCAACTGTTACATGAGTATTTATAAGACACCTATAAGTAAAACATCAATATGTCCCAAGAATAAGCCACTCTTTTGAAACATTTTCCTTTCTAAAATTTTCTGGAAAATTTTGGGTGGTTAGTAGTTTTCTTCCAAATATGTCTTTTATTTGATTTCAAGGTGTCTTTATTAGTTTAATTCTATATGCCCAGTAACAAGAAACCACTTCAAAAATTATAAAAAATACACTAAAATAAATCATAGTAAAAAGTATAATATTTATGCCTGAGAGAAAATATGAAAAGATAATAATTTTGTAGCACAAACAACTCCTCCTAAGATCTGTGTAAGCAAACTCAAGTCTTCATACTTGAAATAAAGACACTAAGTCAGAGTAACATTTAGGATGCTTCCTGCTTTAAAATTTTATTACTGAAATCTAGTTTTTATTTAAAAATTGAAAAACTGTATTCTTAAAGGTCCAGCTGAATAATGTTCCTAAAATATCAACTTGCTTTCTCACTTTCATTTACTTGCCTATGTTAATGGGAATACATTTTAAAAGCATTACTTCTTTCAGCTATTATTAAAATGTGAAATTCACTACTACACTGATTGAGCTGATTCCCCCCCCCCCCCCCCACATCCTTTTAGGACACATGTCATGCTATATTTAAGGACTCTATCACATATTTTTCTTTGATTGTTAGTTCTTCAGAAATTGGGATAGAAACAAAAGTAGCGCATAA